CTCTCAGAGAGCACTCTTCAACAAGCCGACATATGCGAGCAGTGGAACCACATTTCCCGCTCATTAAGTACCGCCGCCGAAGAAGTAGGAAGTCGGATTTCAGCGAGCCCGAAAGAACAACTGGTACGATGAGGAGTGTCAGGAACAGTGTTGGCAAAATGTTAATCTGATTAACGATTAAAAATTAATGGTTAAAATTGATTAACGATTAAAATTGATTAATCGTAATCATCCGTACGATTAATGATTCAATTTTTTAATCGTTAATCGTCGGTTGTGATTACGATTAAATAATTTTAATCAAATCGTTAATCCAAAAAAAAAATCTGATTAAGTGGTCTAGTTTGTCCGAATTTGAAACCAAACTCGGGTTATAGTTATTTCTTTTGTGTTTCACACTTATAAAAAACGCATAATATAAAAAAAAAAATATTATTATTATTATTAGTAATACATAAATTGGGAATTTTTATAACCCACCGCACATGTGCAGAGGGATATTAAAACCTAGTTTGCTTAGCGTCTGTTAAAATAGATCTTAATGAAAATGCTCACCAAATTGCTTAGATTTATGGGGAAAACCGACTTTGCCATATCCGATTAACTGGCCTTGTGTGCTCAGTAAAATGCCAGCATAAATTTATTGATCGCAAAACCTACTTAATCAAATTAAGGGTTAATGATTAAAAATTATTTTTTTAATCGCGGTTACGATTAACTGTTTAATCAGATGTTTAAAAGATGCCGCCAACAGGACCACGCTGCGATCGGGCGCAACGCGCGCTATATGGGACCGCTATAGGGATCTGAATAGGGAAGCGAGACGTATTTGCCGCAATAAGAAGAGAGAGGCCGAAATACGTGAGTGCGAAGAGCTTGAAATGCTGGCCGACAGGAAGAATGCCCGAAAATTTTACCAGAGTGTTAGGCGACTTACGGAAGGTTTCAAGACCAGGGCGTACTCCTGTAAGAACAACACTGGCGACCTAGTTACCGATGTTCAGAACGTACTTAAATTATGGAGGGAACACTTTTCCACGCTACTGAATTGTAGCAGCTCGGAAAGTTGTGGAGAAGAAGAATCCGAGCACCCAGTTGATGATGACGGAGTCGATGTTCCTCCGCCTGACCATGAGGAGGTACGAAGCTGCTGGAGCTGTGGCGAGGAGTTGATAAGGTGCATGCATCAACTCTTATGCTGAATGTGGTCAGATGAACACATGACCGACGGACTGGAATTTAAGTGTGCTCTGCCCAATCCACAAGAAAGGCGATCCCACCATTCGTGCCAACTACCGCGGGATCAGCCTTCTAAGCATAGGTTACAAGGTCCTATCGAGCGTATTATGTGAAAGACGTTTTTGATAGCACTAAAAGGAGTTGTCTATACGCCGCTGTCTGAATTTGGCATTTCCGCCAATCTGATACGACTGTGTAAAGTGACGTTGAGCAATATCACCAGCTCCGTTAGAATTGGGAAGGACTTCCCCGAGCCATTCGCCACCAAACGGGGTTTCAGACAGGGTGACTCCCTTTCATGTGACTTCTTTAATCTGATGTTGGAGAAGATAATAAGAGCTGCAGAACTGAACCGCTCAGGAACAATTTACTACAAGAGCGTGCAATTGCTGGCTTATGCCGATGACATCGACATCATCGGTAACAAAAACCGCGAAGTCTGTTCTGCCTTTTCCAAGTTGGATAGGGAAGCAAAGCGCATGGGTCTGGTGGTAAACGAGGACAAGACGAAGTATCTCCTGTCATCAAACAAACAGTCAGCACATTCGCGCCTTGGCACATACGTCACTGTTGACAGTTATAATTTCGAGAAAGTAGATAATTTCGTTTACTTGGGAACCAGCATTAACACCGATAATAATGTCAGCATGGAAATCCAACGTAGAATCACTCTTGCCGACAAGTGCTACTTTGGACTTAATACGCAATTCAGAAGTAAAGTCCTCTGCCGACGTACGAAAACCACACTCTATAAGTCACTCATCATGCCCGTGCTGTATATGGCGCAGAAGCATGGACGATGACAACATCCGATGAGGCGGCTCTTGGAGTATTCGAGAGAAAGATTTTGCGGAAGATTTACGGGCCTTTACGCGTTGGCGACGGCGAGTACCGCAGACGATGGAACGATGAGCTGTATGAGCTTTACATTGACATGGACATAGTGCAGCGAATTAAAATACAGCGGCTCCGCTGGCTTGGTCATGTCGTTCGAATGGACATCGTCGCTCCATCTCTGAAAGTATTCAACTCGGAACCCGCTGGTGGTAGCAGAGGAAGAGGAAGGCCCCCGCTGAGGTGGAAAGACCAGGTGGAGAAGGACTTGGCTTCACTTGGCATTTCTAATTGGCGCCAGTTGGCACAGAAAAGAAGCGACTGGTTTGCTTTGTTGAACTCGGCCAAAATCGCTAAGGCGGTTACAGCGCAAAATAAAAGGTAGTAGCGAAATTTTTTCAAAATTTTCGTTTTGATCCAGAAATGTTCGTAGAACATCAAAATTAAATTAATTATTTCGAAGCAGGGCGTTGTTGGGGTGGTTTCCGCAGTGACATCCCACGAGGAACTGCTTCGAGAGAAACGTGTTGTGCTCTTTCACCGCCAGCATATGGATTTCTTGGTGGAGGTGATGCTCGGATGACATGAGATGGCAGCCTGTAGCCGTGCGTAGAAATGCTTTCTGGTAGGTTTATCCACTGTGTGTCGCTGGTACCTGCCGACCACACTGGCGCTGCGAGGTTTGCCACCGACCGGCCGATTGCTTTGTAGTGAGTAGGTTTTCTTAGTCGGCTCCCCAAGTGCTGTCGGCTAGTGACTTGAGGATTTTGTTCCTTGCTCGCATCTTTTCGCAGGTGGCTGAGGCGTGCGCTGAAAAGGAGAATAGGCTTTCGAACGTGACTCCCAGGATTTTGGGATGGTGGACCGTCGGTATTGTGTTTCCATCGATGTGGATGTCCAGTTCTAGCCTATCCTCCTTGGTCCAGGTGGTGAACAGTGTGGCGGTGTATTTCGCGACGGAGATGGTGAGGCTCCTGGAAGTGAAGAAATTTGCAAGATCGGTGATATAGTCGCTGATTTTCCCGCAAAGGCTGTCGATATTGGGGCCCGTCGCCACAATCGTGCAATCATCGGCGTAGCTCATCACGTTAACTCCAGCTGGTGGCGGAGGGAGTTTCGCCAGTTAGAGATTGAACAGTTTTGGGGAGAGTACGCCGCCTTGGGGGCCCCCTGTTTAATCCTACGCAGCTTGGACTAGCTGGTTATCCACCGCTTCGTCCGATAGGGAAGCGACGAGTCCAGGACGTCTTGGCAGAGGGTGGTTTGTTTCAGTGATTTTAAAGCGATTTTCAATACATTTTTTATTAAAATATAATTAAAATGAAGTGCGAGATATTCGGTTGCAAAAACCCATACGGAAAAAATAAATCGGCTAGCACAAACGTGCGCTCAAAAATTGCTTTATTTTTTCTTTATGATTCGTCTTTCGTTTGATTTTAATTCATTTAAAAGAAAATAACATGGCGCCGAAATTACAAACGTCAGTAAAGAAATGACTTTTTTCTTGTGATTTATCTTGTCAGATCTTGTGTAGTTGGATCATGCTCTATAGCACTCAACGAACAGACCTAAATTCACACTTTTTTTGATGTCAACCTAGCCAGCGAAAAATCCGAAAACAGTACAAAGGGTGAATGAAATGCGGATTTTTGTTAGTTTACCGATTCCAAACATATATTTTGACGATCCGTCTTCATACCAAAATGTGCGGAATAAATGTACATATAGAAAAGTACACAAAATGGTTGTGAAGTGGTTACGTTTACTGCTGTTTTTATGAGATTTTCCGTTGCATGAAATGTTTTGTTGTTTCTATCCGGAACTTCACAGATGCTCTTACATATTGACTGAAAACCAAACCAAAAACCAACATTTGCCAATTATTTAAATTTTTATAAATACTCTTTTACTGATTTTATAAAATTTTCCGTTGCATGAAATGTTTCGTTGTTTCTATTCGGAACTTCACAGATGCTCTCACATATTTACTGAAAACCAAACCAAAAACCAACATTTGCCAATGATTTGAATTTTTATAAATACTCTTTAATAAGTAACGTCAAAATCTTACAAATAGTAGCACGCTCCTCTGCATATTCCGAAACTACCATATACGTATCCATGTTGGCAAATGTTCAAATATATGTACGTTTATAGTTGCGGTCGCGTAGCTGTTAATTGTTCATGTTTTACCAAAACTTTCAGGTTTTTGCGTTCGCGTACGCAAAAAACTTGCAAAGTAGGGGAAATTGAGAGAGCAAAGTGACATTTCATTTTGAGGGGAGCTGCTGGTTTCTGCTGGAAAAATTTTTGCCCACAGCAATTTGCCAACAGGAAAACAGCTGAAATTGAATTTTATGGTTTGGAAGTTAAAAATGACAAAATGAGACTAATTTAAGTTGTAAGAAGTAAGTAGTTATTTGTTTAATCAATAAACTATGTCAGGATACCACTTTGTGATGAGTTTTCGTACGTTTTAAATTTTACACTTTTGAATGTAAACAAAAATTATATCAGCTGTTCGTCTAACTTGCAAGTTTCTGCAAATATTCTGTTCGCGTACTGTTTTGGATATTTTTCCCTTGTGAGAGAACTGGTGACATTTCGCGGGATTTTTGCCGTTGGTTGGTTTTTACTGGAGATTTTAAACGAACGCACCTTATATCGAAAGAGCTGTAACGAAAAAAAATTTTTGACGGGGAGATTAACGTTAACAAAAATCGTACTCTTATGAGGTAATTTTGCTATGGAGCGATAAAATTTTTATTTTTTTCATAAGCAATCTTTTGACAATTTCGATTTTCAAAGTGTTGCAAGTCAAAGAGAAAAATTACCAAGCCGCAAAGGCAAAAAAAATTATTCACTGCAACGGGTATATTTCCCTTCGTCACAGATGACTTCACTTATCAGCACCTGAGATGTCTTCACACTGAAAACCACAATCAAATCTCATTATTAACAAACATTATCTACACTCGCACAACATGACAAAAAAACATGCAATCGTTGATAAAACTGAGTACAATACGCAAATAATTTCCATTGAACAAAACAGTTTGAAAAAATCATTATAAAGCTACGGATGCTAATATTGAAGATGTTGCCGATTCTTTTTATGATTAGAACCATGTTCACACATGCAGCCGCACAAGGCCGTATCGTTAATGGGAAAGAGGGCCGTATCCAAGATTTTCCCTATCAAGTAAATATTGCTAAAGCTGTTTTGAAGTGGTCATGGAAAAATATCGCTTTTATTTAGGTTTCTTTGCGCCGATATTCAATTCATATATGTGGTGGATCAGTTATAGATGCACAGTGGATTATTACGGCAGCCCACTGTATTGAATCTTTCGAAAAGCAGCCAAGAGTATTTTCCTTGCGTATCGGTAGTTCTAATCGTGGACAAGGTGGTGAAGTGGTTTCGGTGGCTAAGATTTACAAACATCCCTTGTATAATAGTGAGGCGATGAATTTTGATGTCGCGCTATTACGAACGCAGAAAAATCGATTGCGAGGCGAATTTGTGCAACCAATTAAAATTCCGCTGCAAGATACGCCCATCGTGGATAGTAAAGAGGCGATCGTTAGCGGCTGGGGGCATATGAGTTCTTCAGAACATGTGCTATCAGTCCTACTAAAATATGCAACGGTCAGGATTGTAAATCAACAACAGTGCAGGGAATCGATGAAGGCACAAGGCGATATTACTGAAGCGTAAGCTTTTATCTAAAATTTACAGAAATACATATGTACATATCCTTAGTATGCATGTATGTATGTATGGAAAGGGCGTTTCATCGGATTATAAGTCCCCACATTGTTTTATGGAATACAAAATTTTAGTTAGTTGTGCCTTTTTTGCATTTCAGCGACGATGTGAGTTACGTCCTTTCCATACTATACTAACGATATCTATGTATAAGTTACAAATAAACAATAATTTACAGTATGTTTTGCGCTGCAGCGCGAAATACGGATGCATGCCAAGGAGATAGCGGCGGTCCAATAAAAAGCGATAACTTGCTAATTGGGATCGTGAGCTGGGGAGTCGGCTGTGCAGATCCCCACTATCCAGGCGTTTATACGCGTTTGTCTCACCCTGTTATACGAACTTGGATTAAACTAATGTCTGGAATATGATTTAATTTGCGGACCAATAATATGCATCTGGTTTAAAAAATTCTAGTAGTAGTAGTTTTTATTTTCGTCCTTTACAAAAGTAATTAGTTAATTTATGCCATCAGTTTCTTAATGTCAGGTTAACACTAAGGGCCGGTTGTTCAATGTCTGATTCTACCTCCGATTAGTGTTAATCAGACATTGAACCACCGGCCCTATATTATGGAGTCGATCACGTTGATAACGATGTTTAACCTGCAGTTACAACAAAGGCTCTGTTATGTATACTTGGCGGTGCATGCACTGCTATACCATTTTTACGTAGAAATCAAAAACCAACAGATTTCTACGTATGTAATGCTGTGCGTTGGGTAACCGCTTACAAGCGAAGCTCATTTAGGGCCGTTTTCACCATCTATGGTTAACACTAATCCCCAGTTAAACATCGTTACCGACGGTACTGACTCCATGCATATAACATTGTGCGGATAACGTCGGGTGCGAAAGCGGATTCGTCAGCTGTGCGTTTGTTTACATCACATGCACCATTATTTTACACTTTCATTTAAGGAAAGGAGAGTTAATTCATCATGACATTTTTTACAGCATTTTAATGCATCATTTTACCTAAATTGTGTGTTTAAAGTTGCTGACAATAATTGCGCTCCAGATGCTTCACGAACTGCTGTTTTCCCCATTAATAAACCTTATGGGAGGTGGTCACCTGGAACGACTTCCTGTAAAAACCTGCAAATCGTGAAGCATCTGGAACGCAACTAATAATTTTGGCTAATTTTGATTTTCGTTGCTTTCTTTGCTTTGTTTACTTTTCGCTCGTTTTCCAGTAAAACAAGATGGAGTGAACCCGCAACCCAAGCAAAACATTGACTTTTTCACTCTCTTGTTCGTACGTGGTCTTGTGTCTTTGGGCACGGTCACACGGTCAGTATTTATTGACGTGATCCAAGTATCGCGATATTTATTGACGGTTTAGCATGCAGTATTGGTGGATCGTGATCCATATCGCCAAATTTCTAAAAATTTTGAAATCTGAATCGCGGATCGCGATACCGTCAATAAATATTGAACGTGTAGCACTTTCAAAACGCGATCCATACATTTCGTCGGTACATCTTTTACTCTCATAATGAGAACATCGGCTCTGCCTTCGCTCTCGGGGCTTAAAATCTTTCAAAACAAATTGAACAAATTTTAATTAACATTGGAAATTTTAAAATAATTGTGGAATGCATTATCTGTAAATTATACGTACAAAATAAAAATATTTTCTTGCGTCATAATAAGCGTTCAGCACAAAAATTATGCAAATACTGACGCGTTAAATATTGAACAATTACTGACCGTGTGACAGAGCCCTTTCGTTCATGAAGACCTCTCATGAACCAAAAATACAAGATCACGTAAGACCGCGACGTTGTATTTGTAACTGGTTTTGAGAAAAAAGTTTGCGAAAGCGGGTTCGTCAGCTGAGCGTTTGTTTACATCATAAGCACCACTTATTACACTTTTATTCAAGTAAAGAAGAGTTAATGCAACATGACAACACATTTTAAAGCATTTTGTCAATTAGCGGCTATTTAAGTTTTGACTTACAGTGTGTTCCAAAAATTCTCAGCCAAGCGAACTATTCGCAGCGTACACGCATGTGTTAAATATCGGTATGTACGAAAACATGCTCGCCGACAAGATATTCTATATCACTTTTCCGGCACCTGCAATACAAACACAAAAATTCTAAATAGTTAATTAATGAGACATATTCTTTTGAACACATTTCAAGAGTGGTTGTATAATTTTTGTTAACGTTGTGCTTAGTTTGCTATATTCAAAGATGGCTTGAGGAATTGGTGAATCGTGAAGAAAACACGTTTTCTCACTGCAAATTCACAACTGTCAACTCATTGTTCTTCGCCATATTCTTTGTTTACCCGTTGCCACAAATGTCATTCTGCGGGAATGCGCAATCTTGTATTCTATCGTTCTTTGTGAATAATGTATGTATATCCACCAATAATTGGGTGGTTCTTCCAATGGAAATTCCTGCATTATTTTTTTATCCTCCATCTTTCCTTGATGAATTTCGCGGTTTGAATGATGATTTCAATTCATAAATTACTGATAGTTTGACCGTTACAAAGTGTCAGTCAAAACTGATGAACTCTTTTGAAAGCGATTAGTGGAAAGGCCATTTACACTAGGCGATTGTTGCTTTCAACTAAAAATCGCCTGAAAAATCGCCTCATATAAATTCCCTAAAAGAGTGAATTTGAACTGGCTTTCAAGTTCGTGTAGCGTCGAAGTAACGCTCTGAAATTTGGTTACTGGCAAGTTACTGGATACCTAGTTATTTACTGGAAAGTACAAAAACACGACTAATGTCAAAATCAATGCAAGAATGAAGAAACGGCTAGACGCATGTATACTGTTCCCTTTTCTTCTCACCCACTCTTGTATGTTTGTCTTTGATCACCTGTTTTTCTTGCTTGCGAACTGCAAACTTTTTCAGCAAAAATTATCAACTTACCCTCAAAATCAACTGTCACTTTGCTCTGCTACTTTGCAGAAAAGGAAGTCAAATCGTGATAATTTTTGATAACTATCAGGTTATCGAACAGACCTAAATTATTAATTGGAAACATTTACGATAAGGGAAATTCTCCAAAAATAACAACATTGGACATGAAAAAGTACAATTTCTACTACATTTTCTCATATATTTCCACAAAACCCTGCAGGTGTGACTATGATATATACAAAATTTTCCATCGATTTTAAAACGAAAGTGTAAAAACAAGCGAAAATGTAAAAAATTGGACCTTTGCAAATATAATTAAACTATCCGAAGTTGTTTATATGAGCACTGTATTGTACAGTATGTTAATAGCTTATAAAGCAAATTAGGCAACAAATGAAAATCCATATTGCAGAAGTTGAAAGCGGTGGAAACAGTGGAATACCGATAAAGGCAACACGAATACAGCAACTGGATTTGGTCCACATCATCTACTGTCGGAATTTATGGAAACATTTGTTGGTAGTCGAAAGATGAAAATCGCCTTTAATTGGTGTTAGCGAAATTGCTGTTACCCTAAAAAATGCCGAGGGTAAACGACGCACACGCAAGGGACACCAATGGTTCCGATGCAATTGTGGCACCAAAAGCACGCAAAAATGCCATCAAGGCGGAGGTGGAAAGTCCAGGTGAACAGCTTGTTTTCCATAGGAAATCTGAGCGAAGAAGAGTGGCTCGTGACATCTTTTTAGTATTTGAAGAGCAACCTTGCCGGCGGGTACGTGGAGGTGCCAATAGAAAGAAAGCAGCGCAAAAACCCAAATTCGGTCACTTGATGGTAGAGGATCCCAGTCGTTCAACCAAAGGACTACTGCGTGACATTAAGAACGAACCAAAATGTTATCTTGCCGATGATTGCACAACAACACCAGCGGTGGCAACAACGGCCACAATAACCAAAAATGATGAAAAGCATACACCAAAGGTGAATAATTGTATTGAAAGTAAACCTATAGTAGTGGTCGAAAAACCACCGGAGCCTATTAAAGAAATCTCAAGTGATGATCCAGTCGCACGTGTTAATCCAATTTTTCTATGGGTCAAACAGGATGACACACGCATTGTTGAGGTGCGTTGTGAGGATTATGACAAAAGGAACCGTATACGTATAACAAAGACTTCTAACGGTTGGCGGGCCATACCACGTACCGATCCAAGCTCATCGAAGATTGTTAAAATTTTCCAAACACCACTATTAAAAGTGAAGCGAGAAATTTATGAAAATAACTTATTGCAGAAATGTAATGAAAATTTCTGCGCAAATATAAACAGGCAAATTCTGCCAGAGGTCATTGAAAAGCAAAGCTTTACCTCAGAGCAAACAGAAGAAAATGTGCCGACTAATAATAGGAATGCAATTACTGATACCTTCGTTAATAAAGAATCAAATAATGCAAAGCTGAAAATTAAGAGTAAGAAAGTTAAAAATAAGAAAGAATGCAAACGGGTGCGCAAGGCGCCTAAATTAAATATTCCAAAAGCAGAAGTACTTCAAGAAGTTACTCCAGAACTCAATGCAGAGTGTAGTGTTGCGCTCTGCGTAGTTAACCAACCTGAGGAAAACGAAGTCCCCATTCAGCAGATGATACAGTCAAATCTGCAGACAATACAAAACTTCAATGAAATGTGTGTGAACGACCATGAAATAACAGAGCAAGACACTTCTGCTACCAACGCGACTGGAATTACAGATTCAAATAGTGATACAAAAGAACAGTCAATTGAAGCAGTAATTGAAACAGTACCTCTAGCAGAGGAAGAGCCCCCAGCAGCGAGAAATGAAAGTCAAATCGAAACTCAAACATATCAACATCATCCACCGCATTTGCAGCTTTGTCCAAAAACAGGGCTTTTCCTGCCAACCATTATTTGCGAAAGTGACAACGATGGAGAGACCTCTGTCGTTGCAACAGAAGGAGCTTGCGATGTTAGTACTTTTAATACGAATTTTTTGTCCAAAGATATTTTAGTGGACTTGGCCGACTGCGTGGATGATGATCATTGTCATAATGCTGGTGAAAAGATGCCAACACTGAATGAACATTTCACGACCCATAATCTCGATGCCGACACCAAAAATCTTAAGGATCTACTAGATGATGCAGATTTAATGCAGCACTGCAGCGATAACGGTAATAGCGATGCTGACATAATCGATTCGATTGTTAAACGCAGCTGTGAAAACAATTTAATTCAGGAGGCTGAAACACTTAAAGAGGCTGTCACTCCTGCAACATTTAACACTACACAAGTGGAGGAAGTTGCAAGGAAGGATTTAATAACAGACGTAATACCACAGCATATAATCGATGAGGCAGTGCGAGAATCACCCAAATGTTTGTCATTCAACGAAGCAGGCGAAATCGAAGGTCTAAACGGCGAACTTTTCCAATCAAATAGTTTTATGGACACATACGAAAAGGAGTCTAGCGTTGAGGAAGTAACTTTAAGTGATGATGGCAAAAAAACTGAG